ATGAAACAAAGTTATACTGTATCAATAAATAACAACTGAGACTGAGATATGATATGATATGAATTAATATGAATGAGTACGAAATATCAATGAAATCACTAAGGTGACAGCAAGAAACAACTACTATGGGTCCCAACAGTACCTGCATAAAGCCTAAACATGATTTCTAGCATCATTGACAGCTCAATTACTTTATCACATGATGAAAACAAGGATATCAACAAGATAGAATCACTATATAGTGCCATGGAATCAACCAGGTCACAATTCTCACGGTGCACGCCCGCACGTCCCTCACTTGGCATGTGCGTCACCTCAATACCAATCACATAACACATAAATTCGGGGTCTCGAACCCTTAAAACCAAGTTTGAAAGTGTTACTTACCTCAATCCGAGCAAAACTCTACTCCAATATGCCTTTTCCTCTCAAACCGGTCTCCAAACGAATCTAGCCACAAGTAGTACAATACAATTAATATAGGCTAAAGGGGTTAATTCCAGGAGAAAAACACTAAATTGTAGCCAAAAATCCAAAATTGGCTCAAACCTCCTCCCTCCGGGGGGGGGGGGGGCACATCTTGAAATCAGACGAAACTCACAAAACCCGAAAGCCCATTCACTCACGAGTCTAACCATACACAATTTAATCAGATCCAATAACAAAATCCCCTTCAAAACCTCAAAAATCTAACTCAAGAACTTTTCCTCTTTTTCCCCAATTTTCCACCCCAAATCACAAATTGAATGATGGAATTAAAGGCATAATCATGATATTTGGCCAAAACCAAGTAAGAATCACTTACCCCAATCAATTCCTTGAAAATCCCTTCAAGAATCGCCCAAATCCGTGGCCTCTAGTTCAAAATATGAAAAATGGGTTCAAGCCCTCGTTTTTTGAAATTTAACACTACTGCCCAAATATTCCTTCATCTCGAACGCGGCCTTTCCCTCGCTTTCCCGTAGCACAAATGATTCTTCCGCTCAAAACCCTCTTCGCGAATGCGTCCGACAAACTGTGAACGCGATGCTTCGCTGACCCCTCACTTTGCGAATGCGACTCGCCTTCCGCGAACGCATAGACCAAATGGCTGGGGTCCCCAGTTGCCTCACTTCTCTTCGCGAACGCGTTACACTTCTCGCGTTCACAATGCCTCCCCCTGACCAAACTTCCATCAGCCTCCAAGTACACTTCGCGAACGCGAGACCTCCCTCACGAACACATAAGAAGAAACCAGATGAGCCAAAAACCAGCAACTTCAGCTATTTCACCAACTCAAAACCAAGTCCGTTAACCACCCGAAATTAACCCGAGGCCCACGGGACCTCAACCAAACATACCATCAAGTCCCAAAACATCATACGAACTTAGACGAACCCTAAAATCACCTCAAACAACATTAAAAACACGAATTACACACGGATTCAAGCCTAATGAACTTTGAAATTTCAAAATTATACAATTGACGTTGAAGCCTATCAAATCACGTCTGATTGACCTCAAATTTTGCACATAAGTCATAAATGACACCACGAACCTACTCAGTTTGCCCTCAATCAAACTTTTTAAATTCCAACTTTCGCCAATTCAAGCCTAATTCTACTACGGACCTCCAATTCACAATCCGGACATGATCCTAATACCAAAATCAACTAACGGAACCATCAAAGTTCAAATCCAAGGTCGTTTACACATAAGTCGGCATTCGGTCAACTTTTCCAACTTAAGCTTTCAATTAGGAGACTAAGTGTCTCAATTCACTCCAAAATCATTCCGGACCCAACCCAACTAACCCGATAAGTCATATAACAACCCTATAATACGAAAGGAGCAGCAAATGGGGACGGGTCTACAACTCTCAGAACGACCAACGGGGGTCGTCACAAGTTTGCAGCCAATACAGGCCTTTTTTGCTATGGTCGTTGAGGTCCAATTGAACGGGATCGAGGTCTTCTATGATCGAATCTGCAGCATCGACCATTTTGGGATCCATGATGACGTCCTCAATTTTTTCTTATGTTGACCTCGGCCTGTTGAATGTGGTGCCTCTTTTTGCTAGTCTTTTTTTTATTGGGTTGACGTGTTGTCTAAGGCAATGCGGTAGCTGTAATGAGCCGACCAGTCGTTTTGAGTGTTTTAGCCCTGATACCCTATTTATTGCCTCTCCTATGTTGTATTTTGATTATGTGACTTACCATGGGAATTTGGTTTTGGTTTCGTGTGAGTTTCAGAGTAAAACAAGACACATAGTTCCTAAGTTGATAGAGTTGACCGTAGTTTGACTTTTATATAGACGACTCCAGAATGGAGTTTTGACGGTTCCAATAGCTCTGCATGGTGATCTTAGACTTATGAGCGTGCCTGGATGTTGATTTGGAGGTATGCGGGCCGTTTCGGCGTGAATTGGCGAAGGTTGGCAAGTTGAAGGTTCGGAAGATCCGAAAGTTTGACCGGGAGTTGAGTTTGTTAATATCGGGGTGGGAATTTGATTCCGTGAGTCTGTCATGTTATTTATGACTTGTGTGCGAAATTTGAAGTAAATCGGAATTGTTTTGGTAAGAATCGACATTGGTTTCGGAATTTCATAGTTTCCTAGGCTTGAATTTCGGTTGCGATTCGTAGAATCGATGTTGTTTGTTGTGATTTTTGCTCTTGAGTAGCTCCGTTGTGTGTTTTAGGACTTGTTGGTATATTTGGACGGTGTCCTGGGGGCCCCTGTGTGAAACATATTGAATTCAGATCAATTTTTGGACTTGTGCTATTGCTGAAGTTCCCAGCCATCTGGTGTTATCCCACATGCGAAGGGATTGGGCGCAGGTGCGGACTCGCAAAATGAGCAGTTGATCGCAAAAGCGAAGCTGGATTTGCCCAACTGGGATCGCAGGTGCGAGAAGTTATCCGCGTCTGCGTATCCGCATGTGCGGACGGGGATCGCATGGTCTATGGTCGCAGAAGTGGAGAGTTCTCCGCACGAGCGCACTCGCAAGTGCGAGCTTTTATCCGTAGAAGAAAAACTCCTGTATTTAAGTGGAGTCCGCACGTGCGATGGTTTCTCCGCAGGTGCGACCGCCAGGCTCGCAGAAGCGGATTTGCTGGGCAGAAAATGGAAAATTTCGAAAGTTTGATTCATAATCCATTTTTTGGACTTAGAGAGCTCGATGTTAGGCGATTTTTCGGGAGATTTTCAAGGAAAATATTTGGGTAAGAATTCTAACTCGATTTAGGGTAAATTACATGAATCTATTGGTGTTTTCATCATTAAATTAGTGTTTTGGAGTTGGAAATTTGGGAAAAAAGTTGTGAAACTTCTTAGGCTAAAATATGGGGATTTGAAAGACAATTTGAGGTTAGATTTGAGTAACTCTTGTATGGTTGGACTCGTTATCGAATGGGTGTTCGGATTTTATAGCTTTAGTTGGATTCCGAGACGCGAGCCCGAGTTGACTTTTTTAATTCTTTGCAAATATCGTACTTTTATTGTTCGAATTAGTTTCATATAGTTTATATTTATAATATGAAGTTATTTTGGCTAGAATCGAGTCGTTCGGAGTTGGATAATCGAGGGAAATGCCTACTAGTGGATTGGGTTAGCGTGATTCGAGGTAAGTAACTTGCCTAACCTTGTGTGGGTGAATTACCCCTTAGGATTTGTGCTGGTTGTGATAATTGTGATATGTGAAAGCCGTGTACGCAGGGTGACGAGTATGTACATGGGCTAAATGTGAAAATTATCGGTTTTAGCTATGTAGATTTCCTTTCATGCCTTAATTGTGTTACCTTAACATGTTATAGACATTATTTCTAGTCTATTTTCACATGTCTACTTGTTTTATCTCTTACTTGCTAATTGTTCTACATGTTTAGTTGAAGTTCTTGTTTTTTTTTATTCCGTATTCATAATTTAGCCGTTGACTCTTTACTTGAAGTTGTTATTCCTGTAATATCTTGTTGTTGAGATTGGTATTGAGTTATAAAGGCCGTAATTTGCATTGAGGCAAAGTGTTGGGTTGTGAAATACCATTCTTGTTGAGTTATTCACTATCGGTTATTGTTGTTGAGACTCATGTGTGCATTGTGGTTGAGCCATGGGCTCTTTATTTGTGAAAATACTGTTATTATTGATCTTTGTGACAAGTTGTAATATTGGGCACTTGAGGTACGATTTTGTGATACGTTATGATATTGATGCGCATGGGATGGTATAAGGTTTTGGGGTTGAAACACATGCGTTGAGATAATGTGAGCTTGATACGCGTGGCTAGTAGGGGAATTACTAGAAGTCATGCAGTGTGTTAAGGTTGGCTAAATGCGGGATGCTATTTCGGAAAAATAATTTTCAAAACAAAAATATAAAGGCTCCCGCGGTGATATAAGGAAAGTTTGTGCTTTATTCTTGTGATTTGAGACTACGAGGCAATACCTCGGTAATGACTCTTGTTGGTATTTCTCTTTGGCTGCACTTGTCTTCTGTACTTATCTTCGGAATGCTATGGAACTGTTAGGAAAAACTTCACTTATTTGATTCCTTATCGCGCGAATTGGTTGACTTTGAAATTCTAAATCTCTGCCTTTTTATTCTCTCACAGATGGTGAGGACACGCATAACTGTCCTCAAAATTCTAATTCTCTATCTTACCACTCCCCTATAACCCTTGTTGGTCTAGTTAAGTAATTATAGTAGTTCAACAAAGGGCCAAAATATAAAAGGAAAAATGATACTATACAGCCGCTATAAAAATAATAGCCGAAAAAAATTTGTATATTTTTTTGTATCTATATACATTTTATATGTTGTATACAAAAATTATACAAATTTTATACACTTTTTTGACTATTAGATATAAATATTTTTTGGCGCGGGCTAAAAGTGATAACACACCCAAAATAAAATAGGCCGTTCATAATTTCGTGCTAGCGCCACTATACAACCCGCCAAGCACTAAAAAGTTCAAATTACTTTCCCGCCTTGTCGGACAAGTAGCTCCCTAAGTCCCGCCAAATCAAACATTAGTAAACATCTCCTCTCTCTCTTCAACGCCGCTCTCATTCCATCATCTTACAGCTCCTATACAGCAACTCATGTGTTGTACTCCTCTCCAAAAGAAGAAAAATTTCAGAGACGGATGTTATTGGGTGAGAGAATTACTATATCATTGTGTTGTTAGGGTTTGAGGTCAAAAACACGCCTGAGTCAACAAAAATAGACAAATTAGTATTCGAAGAGTTGTAAGATGGATGCATCCAAGCATCAATCTTTCTTCCAAGACATCAATTCAAGGGAGCTTAATGGATACAGAGGTTTGCCCCAAAAATTGCTTCTTGATTAACAGTAATTTCTTATATTTACATTAATCTAAGTACAATTTTTTGTGGTTTTCATCTACGTGTGTATCTCCAGTTAAACGACGACCCTATATCAGTCACGAATCATCTGATTTCAACGAAATCGGAGCTCTGGCAGTTGACCACAACGGCTTCACGCCACCTCCAATGGCCCTCTCGTTCTGCAAGGTTAAAAACAATCTTTATCTCTCATTGTGTGTTCATAGAGTAAAACACTTGTATAATGTTAACAAATTCCGTAAATTATACACGCTGGTATTTACTGCAGACGAGTAAAAACTCGCATATTGTAGCTGTGGCTGACGAGGGTGGCTACCTTAGCTTGTTTAACACTCGGGTCAAATTTCCTTCTTCTTCTACTCACCTGCAAAATGCAGGTAAAAAGATCAAATTTATAGTTGAGACACTAAGTTTAGCTTTTCATGCTATAATTTTTTTGAGGGGAATTTTTAATGAATATTTTGCAATTTCCAGAAAAAGCGAAGGTGTCAGAGTGGGCTGCTCATGATAATGCCATATTTGATGTATGTTGGATCAAGGTACATCTCAGCTCCCTAGACTTTAGAGGCTATTTTTTAGTAACTAAATTTACTTTATGTGTTTCCAATATTGCACGAGATGAAATTGATGCAACTGAAATGCAATTTCAGAAAACCAAAAAAGATCAGGATAGGTGGAATTTGTGGGGCAATGATTGTTAAGAGGTGTTGAGCGGTTTTGATACATATGAAGAAGTATCTTAGGCAAACTGTTTGAATGTTCAACCAAGAATAATAACATCCATGCATTTTATTTGTGTGCATGATTTACATCAGTAGTAAAGTCGCAAGATTGATGGATCAGTAATGTATCTTAGTGCAAAACTAGATTTCCAGTATTGCTGTCAACTGTCATAAGTACTTTTTTATAGGAGAAACAAAACTGAAGATATTACTTTTGATTCGAACCAATAAACTGTTTGAAAACATAACTAGTGTTGAAGATCACTAGAAATATATAGTAGGTACCCCTTTCTAATTGTGTTATAGCAGGGAAAAGTTCTTAATTGGAGCTTCATCACCACCCTTCAGTAAAGAATTTTCACTTTCTAAACTCAAGGAAATGTTGAGTGTTTAAAGGTGCTCGGTGGCTCACACAACACAACAAAGTGGAAGCTATAAGAACCAATTTGTGGGTTGAAATGTGTTAATTTAGTTAGAGCGTGAACTAGAGAATCTTCTTTGGTTTGGACATGTTTACTTTCTGTTTTTTTGTTGTTGATATTTAGATCATTTTTTGGAACATTTGTTCCACATTAAAGATGAGATTTATTTGATTTTATTTGCAGGAAGATACCAATATCTTAACAGCTTCAGGTGATCAAAGTGTGAGTTATATATTTCACTTCTTTTCTGTAATAACTGGTTGGTTTTATTCTTCTTTCTCAAACCTTTCTATGCACTCAAAGAACAAAGCCATGTTAACAAAATGTCAAAAACCAATAGTTTTTTGATCGTTTGAATGCTGTACTCATAAATCTAACAGTCTCATGATGAATTCGAGCAGATAAAGGTATGGGATGCACAAGGAAAGCAATGCGTGAGAGCACTAATGGGTCACACTGGGAGTGTGAAATCCATTTGTCCTCATCCTACAAATCATGGTAGGTTTGAGGTCTTCTATGTTTCTTTCTGGAGCCATTGTTTCTATACATTCTTTAACAAAAGATATCATATGCCATCATTTCATGCGTTATTTCTTTGGTTTGATGTAGATGTTATTGTTTCTGGTGCCAGAGATGGGTCTTTTGCCCTTTGGGACTTGAGATGCTCTGACAGTAGCAGTGAAAACCTTTGCATACCGTAAGTACACTGTTATGCTCACATGACAGTGGAATGAGGTTTCAAGATCACAAGCCTTTCAATTGTTAGAAGAAATAGGGACGCATATTTTTGTTTATCACTGATAAGAAAGAAGTATTAGAGTTTTATCAAGCATGACCATTTGAAGAGATATGTTCACTTAGCAGCTCCAAACATCACTCAAAATTATTTTCTGCATTTAGGTCAATTGCTACCGTCCATGAGGCTCACATGTCTCCTCATCAGAGACGAACTAGACGTGGAAAGGTTAGTCCTATAATCATTACTTTCAACGACTCAGTTCTCCATATTTTCATACGACCAGTTTTATTCTTACTGGGCACAACTATTTCAGGCTTCCCCCGTGAGCATTACATCAATTCTTTACCTAAAAGATGAGCTCTCCATAGCTAGTGCTGGAGCAGTTGACAGGTGACTGAGAAAACTTGCCATGCTTTTCAAAATAATCATGCAAGTTGCAACTTAGCCAGCAATTCATTGTGAGATTATGCAGTACTCACTCTTTTTCTCCATAAATTTCAGTGTCATAAAGTTCTGGGATACAAGGAATCTCAAATGTCCCATTATTCAGGCATGCCCTCATCCTGAGGTGTCAACACAGAAGGTAATAGTAAATGTTTCATTACCGATATGTGTTTTCTTGAGTGTTCAATTCCTTTAGTGTCTTGACTGTCTCTCAGACACATACAACAATGTTCACTCTTGCTCAAGATGTAATCTGGCTGCAATTCAGAGGGTCCGATTTGTTGAAAATTCAGAAATCTGTGATGTGATTGATACCAACTTTCTCTCTTGTTGTTCAGGGAAAGCGATTCCATGGAGTATCTAGTTTGTCTCAAGACATAAATGGAGTGTTTATTTCTGCATCATGCATGGACAACAGGTATTTTATTTCTTTGATTAGCATCTTTTAGCTTGGTGTATGTTCTCCCTCTTCTATAATAGAACACTCTGCATTGTAAGCAATTGCTTAGTAACAAATAAGAGATTTCTAGGTTATACGTGCCCTACGCATTCTCAGGAAGAACAATTTTCCCAGATATGAAAACTTATAGTAACTTCCATTGCTATGCAAAATGCTGATACTTTTTCTCTTGCTTTTTCTGTTCTCTTTCAGAATCTACTTGTATAGTGTACTTAAGGCAGATAAAGGGCCAGTAAAAACTTTCACAGGATGCAAAATAGAATCATTTTTTGTCAAGGTTAGTGCCGTTCTATTTCTGCTACTTGTAACTTGGACCCTTCTTTATGCAGCTAACTAAAATGGCCTTGATCTTAATGGAATTGCAGTCAGCTATAAGTCCTGATGCAGCTCATATTCTCAGTGGTTCCAGTGATGGAAGCGCCTACATATGGCAGGTTAGTTTTTTCAACTATAAAAGTTCTCACTGGAGTTTTCTCTACGTGGTGTTAACTCATCAGCTCAATGAATCAGGTAAACAAGCCTCTTGACGATCCGATTATATTGAAAGGTCATGATGGAGAAGTTACAGCACTAGATTGGTAAGTTTGCTCAATGCTATAGATTCTACCCTAATTTATCTATACAAATCCAACCTAACTTTTGAAAACTAAACTGCTACAGGTGCACATCAGAAACGGGTAAAGTTGCTACAGCATCAGATGATTTCACAGTAAGTTGTAGAGAAATGTTGCATGTTTCCATCATTGAAATGTTGGATAAATGAACTAGATCCATCCCAAGTACATGAATTTACCTATTTCATGATTATTATAACTTAATGCATTAGTCTTAAGATGCATTCCTTGTTTTATTCATGAATTGGGGAATAGAGAAAATTCAGAATTAAATTAAGGTACATGTACTAGATTAGGTACTTGTTAGAAAAATTCCTACAAATACTTAGGTACTATAGCTATTTTATTTAAGCCAAGTCACAAGAAGCAAAGAAGAATACTTCCCAAAATGTAGTGCTCATCCTCTCCCAAGTTTCTTATACTCGTGAGCAGTGGCGGAGGCAGGATTTCCGCCAATAGGGTTCAATAAAGAAAAAAAGTTAAAAAATTAAAAGAAATTCTGTCCAGTGGGAATTGAACTAGTGATCTCACAAAGTTTTTGGACCCCCTTGACCACCAAGCTATGCTTTGGGTTGTGTTAAGGGGATTCAAAACATAATATATGGAAGTAAAAAACAGATTTGCTATATATATATATATATATAGTGTAATTTTTAGGCAAAAAGGGTTCGGGTGAACCCCCTTCCAACAACAACAACAAACCCACTAGTTTCCCACAAGTAGGGTCTGGGGAGGGTAAGATGTACGCAACCCCTACTCTTGGAAGTTCAGAGAAGCTGTTTCTGATAGATCCCTCGACTAGAGAACAACTGAAAAAAAATGTAATTGCAACAAGTAGGAATAACAACAAGATGAAAGAAGATCGAATTCAAGAATGCAATCGAACTCTAGGTAGTAATAGCCATCTATGGATAAAAGATAGATATCCTACTAACACTAATTCTAGCGAACTTAGTAAGACAAAGAGAAACGCTCAACTACCTACGAACCTTCTACCTTAATCTTTGATCTCCACACCCTCCTCTCTAGGTCCATGTCCTCAGTCAACTCTAACTGCGCCATGTCCCGTCTAATAACCTTTCCCCAAGACTTCTTAGGCTTACCTCTACCCCTCCTGATATCTACCGAGGCTAACCGCACCTTCTAACTGGGGCCTCTATACTTTTCCTCTTAACATGCCCGAACCATCTCAACCTTGCTTCCTGCATCTTATCCTCCACAGGGCGGGTGAACCCCCTTCCGCCGTCCTAAAACCGCCCCTTCCTATGAGAACTTGGAATTCTTGAAGGCCAAGAGATTTTCAATCAAACATTTTCTCTTGCAAAATTTTGTGATTCTTGTTTTTTGATGTTTGAGTTTGAAGATGTTAATAATGTGTTATTCCTATCAAATCTGTGGCAGGTGCGTTTTTGGAACATCCACAGCAGTTGTTACTCAAACACAACATCTCCATCATCCATCCGAAAGAAAGTAACAGCAGTTTCTTGTATGCAACGTCGGAAGCTGTTTTCAGATGAAAAACCAGTCAGCATCAAGAATGACTCTACTAACTGTGACTCAAACTTGACATGTCATCAAGAATTGCCTGATCTTATTACCATCCCTGAAATGAGTACTCCAGTATCAAAGAAGAAAAAACATTTACAAGGTTTTGAACTTCAAGAAAACTTTGAGAAAACTCCAGAAACTGCAAAGAAAAGCCCTTCTTCTGTTCTGACTCCCCCTTCCTCTTTGAGGAAAACAATCAGAGATTACTTTGTAGTCACACCTTCAGGGTTACACAGTCAATGACAGAACCTGTAGCTTGAAGAATTTAACTTTCTAGCCTATACATAGCAAACAGGTTCAGATATATCCCTTTATTATCCTACTTGGTAAAGTCCATTCAACTATATCCATTGCAGCAGATATACACCCTGTCGACGATTACGGGCTGATAAAAATGGCCAAAATTCTTGATAAGTAGCTCACTCAAGTGTTCCATCACATACATTTTCTCAGCCAAGAGCAAAGCGAAATACATTATGAAAAGAACCAAAAAATTACTGTAAATAGATAGATGTTTTGTTTTTAAAATCTGTAATGGGATTAGTTCTCATTTTTCAGTCACATGTCTAAGTTGCCCAAGTTTAAATGAGCTGAGATAAGACTTGCTTGTAAACTTGATCCAATGAGTTGCACTCAAAATGACTCATCAAATTATTGGGTCAAAACTCAAAATAGGAGGAAATGAGCTGATCCCTTTGCTATATATAGCCTATACTCTAAACCTGGTGAATGTTGAGGATCAAATATCCTACTTATTTCTTTGCTTCATTTTGTTTACCCACTTAGGGGTGTTCAACCGAGCCGGAAAACCGCACCAAACCGAAAAACCAAACCAAACCGATCAAAAAACCGGACTAGGTTTGGTTTGACTTGGTTTGGTATTGAGTAAACAAACCCGAACCAAACCGACATATAAATATATAAATTTTATTTATATTTTTAAGACTTTGTAGTGATTTTTCTTTAGAAAATGTAGAAATATTTGGAATCCTCTCATGTATTAACCTTGAAAGCGCAAATTAACGAAAAATTATTGTTAGACGACTAAGAAAATAACTATCATGTGTTACTAAAAAATTTCTCCCATTAGAATATTTTAATAGATCATATGTTTGTCAATTTTTTCCATATTTACTAAACATATATTCACTTATCAAAGCTTTATCTATAATTTTAATAACGTAAGATTGAAATAATATTCATGTAACAAAAAAACCCGAAAACCCGAAAAATCCGACAAAACCGAACCAATCCAAACCGATATAATTGGTTTGGTTTGGTTTTGATAGAAACCGAACCAACCCGGTCCATGTACACCCACTTCTAATTTGACACTATTATTTAGGAAATAGTTGAACAATGAATTGTCCAATTATATATGTTGGAGAAACATATAATGGTCATGCTTTAACTTTTCTACTAGCTAGTAAGATGAAAATTTCCACATGAGAAAAGATGTTCTATATGAGAGAAAAAAAATGAAAGTGGGATTCTTGAAACGTCTAAGAGTCATTTTATAAGAAGGTATTAAAAATTTCCACATGAGAAAAGATGTTCATCGAGGGTATTATCACTTTTGGCCCGTACATAAACTATTTACGTCTAGTAGTTAAAAAAGTATATAAAATTTGTATAATTTTTATATGTAACATACAAAATGTATATATATAAAAGTTATATAACATACAAAAATGTATATATATAAAAGTTATATATTTTTTTGGCTATTATTTTTTACAGCAGTTATATAGTGTCATTTTTCCGACACTAATTGATGATCACTCTCTCTAAAACAACAACAACATACCCAATGTGATCTCACAGGTGAGTTCTAGGAAGGATAGGATATACGCAGACCTTACCCGTGACTTGTGTAAGATAGAGACCGTTTCCAATAAATCTTCCGCTCAAAAAAATCGTTTTCAAAACAAGTTTAAAAAGTAAAAAGAGTTACGATGAACATACTACAAAAAAAAAGTACTGATAGTAAAATGTGATCTTTTTTTTTTTGATTTCTCAGCTGGTATCCGGTACCCACATTGGGGCCCGACTAATTCGGATTCGCGCCGAAAAGTCCCGCATTAAAAGGTAAAACGCTCCCGAACAAAGGAAAAATGTGATCACTCTCTCTGTCGTGTCGAAAAAGATGGTCCAAAACTTTCTTCTCTTTTAGCAAGAAATCATGAGGAATTGTTCACATAAACTAAGAATATTTACTATTGACTTTTTCTAAATGCATGCGCAAAGTTCTTTACATCATGCCTCTAAATTTTCGCATAAAAGACGCAACTTTAGGAATTGGGATCGATCTTAGGATTGAAATATTATTAACTTCATCCTTAGCCTTGTCCAAAAAAAAAAGCTTAATCATTTGCCACTTTATTCTTTTTCCCTCTAAAATATTGCTGAAGCACTTAAATAAAGTTGCCCGTGAACTCTTGAATTGATGCCACGTCAACAGGCTATGGTCTGTCTACCAAATGCATAGTATTCATTATGCAATAATAAACAAATTACAAGGGACCAAAATTTAATGAGTTGAAAATATTGTTGTATCAATGCCCTATACTTTATAGTATTATTTAATTTTATAATACACTTCTAAGGACCAATAATCTGCTCCCTAATCATTATAAGCACATTTTATTCGACCTTTAGCTTATTAATTATTCTTTCTGCAACCCCTTTACTCAGTGATTGATCATTTAATTGCAATCTAACATGCAATAGTTGAGCAGTTACTCAAAGAATCTTAGCACTGAGCATGCTATATACTTTCTACTATTATTTATGAGCAGTTCTAGAATTTTCAAAGAGCTTGAGAATCTGACACTAGTACTTTTTATTAATTTATGAGCTAAATGTACATATATTCAGTCAGACATTTTTATAATATTCTTATGTAACAACACTTCATTATAAAAGCCAAGTCTCTTCAGAATCAATTTTCATGTTATGTTATAATATATATTCTATATAACAGTACTACGTTATAATATCCAAAAAATATTCGGAACAAACGAGATTGTTGTAGAGAGGATTAACTATATATAGCTAACCTTAGGAATAGAGAAATGGTGTTATACTTCAATAACCGTTTCTATTACTTTCAATAAAGCACGCAAATATGATAGATTAGAAAAAGCTAGATTCATGTACCTAAAAAAGAACAGTCATATCTACTGGCTGTTTATAATCATGACAAATGACGCCTGATTTCCACAATCATTTGATATACACCCCTCCAGAAAAAATAAAAATAAAAATCCATTAGTACGTTACCGATATGGCACATATTTATTATTTAACTGTTAGTTAATAGTGATCACGCTCAATTATGCCTTATAAAAAGGACTAAGCAATCGTTGTAAATATAATACGGTTTACAAATTCGGAGTCGAATCCCACAGAGAACTAAGGCTTAACTACAGCTGTTCAGTATCACCAAAAAGACAAGCTTGAACAATTCCTAACTTATAGATATTAAGATTTTTGTGTTTAACTAATTAACTAACAAATTAAAATAGTAAATTAACAACTAAAGATACTAAGGGTTAGAGACAAGATTAAGGAGGTCTAGAGTTATGATTTCCCCTATTGTCGGAATCCTTTCCACTACGTTTTCTATAAATTCGCCTAAGTATTCTCTACCGATCATGAGTGCTCTAACTGTCGTAACTCTTTCCCGAGTAATTACCACATTTACTAGACATATTCTCCCGAATTACGCTAGCTGGCATTAAGTATGGCTTACTCGGATCGTACCCAAGGTTTCGTTATCCCTAATCCCACCTTTAAACCCTCCGTATTGATCCCTCATATATGTTAGGAGTTATGTTGTTCAACAACTACCTAAATATGCACTCTCTCCCGAGTAATACACACTAAATAGGCACAGTCGATTGAAATCTCTTCAACCAACCACAATAATAACGTAGTTGAACAACAAATCTATATTAACGTAACAGGAAAATCATCCTCCAATAGGTTCCATCGAAACCCTAGATAACAAATTAGATATTCATAATAGTATGCATAACTACAATACTATAATTAATAACCAATAATGAAAATAGGAAGAAGGAAGTGAAAAACTCGTAGAAGAATTCTCCGCCTTGCTCCCATGTGTTCTTGCCTCCTCAGGTCGAATCCCCGATCTGCTTAGCCTCCTTAGGTCTAAATTATGTCAAAATAATGTCCCCCCCTCCCCTTTCAAAATAGCGTTTTTACATGTATTTATACCAAATAGGGTCGGGCACAGACGAAACATCTTTTCCTGCGCAAAATAGGACTCTGGCTCTGTAAAATTTGCACAGGAGCACCGCATGGGGCGACGCGCCACGCGATGTGCTTGTGGGGAAGTTCAGAGAGCTGATTCTGACAGGGTGCAGGAATTTTCCACAGGCGCGGCGCGCCCCGCGCCACTCCACTCGCCACGGTAGTGAGAATTCGCGAAAACGCAAAACACTAAAGTTGTATCCCTTTCAAATAGCTTTCCAACGATATATTGTGGAGCCCAAACGAAGTTCTGAGCAGAAAGTTATGTGTATTTTACTAGACAATGCGCCGTATGCCCGCTCGATTCTTCGTTTCGTTCTTAACTATCATCCGTTGATCCCCGACATGATCCCGGCTTGATTCCTTGGGCTTTTCCTCAGACTTCAAAGCTCCAAATCACTTGAATTCATTCCATAATATCTACATAGCTCGGAATCACTCATACAAGGCATAAAATGCACAATTTAGTGCAAAACACTAGCGATTAAAGCTCAAACTCAATTAAAGTGTAGTACATTAATATGTAATAAGCGACTAAATACGCAATTATAGCCTATCATCAAATGGCGATAAAAATTAAGCATTATTTATCACAATCTTTTTTCGTAGCAGAAGTATTTATCGTTTTTTCAAGAAAATACGTTGATCTAGCAAAAATAATTCCAAGATTTCAATTGATCATTTCCGCAGTATTAGAAGTGATATATATTTTTAATTTAATTTCTTAAAACTAAAGTTAAATTACGTGATTTATATAAACACAGCCTGACGCGAACAAATATTTATCCCGTTAGTGTAGTCCCAAGTACCCATATATGTTGACTTAGACCAAGAATTTAAGCCCTATCAATCAGTACTCGACCAACTATAATACCAATATGAAACAACTAGTAGTATCTCTTACAGATATATTTTTTAGTGATCAGATTTTAATTTGTGTGATTCCACACCGACTAAAAACTAAAACTATTCTCTACCTTTATATATTTATATTATTTGTCCTAGATCTACAACACAACATTACTACGTACCTATAATTACTTGTTTAATTAAGAGCAAAACGAATGACGAAGAAAAGAAGTATGAGAAACAGTAGTGCGTATTAAATTATGCGTCCTCTCAAAAAGATTTTCTATCAGTATTGCATTATTGTTTACATGCACATATAGATTTAGTTACTGTTGCAATAATAGAGGCAAACAGTTATGTTTTCAGAGATTTCAAATTATTTCCTTTTTTTTCTACAGAGTTAACAGGCAGTGAGTTGAGTTCATCAATTATAATTGAGGAATATCTATGTAGGATGTACATTTGGTAGGTGGGTGCTTTCATATGAAACTTTGGCAATTGGAATATTTGCTTTTTTTTTTCTTTCTATGCATGGGCTTTTATGTGTATACAAAATACTTTTTTTTTCCCGCAAAAGTAAAGAACATTGTGAGCACTATATATTGTATACGGAAAAGGGCCAAAATTGCCCCTAAATTATTCGCTTAAGTTTAAAAATACTCTCCGTCTATCTATTTTGTAAAAACTGCCCTCACCGTTAAAAATCTGGCCCATTCATACCCCTAACGCCAACTTTTCGGCCCACTCATACCCTAAAAACTAACAGCCCTATTTTGATTAAGAAATTTTTTTATTATTTATTATGTGTTAATTTCCTATTGCCTTAAATTAAAACCTCACCCCATATCCACTTATTAACCTACTCCGCCTTAAATTTTCACCCTTCAACACCCACAGATCTCCCTCTTCATCTCAGATTTTTCGGCCTTAATTTAATTTTTAAATTAACATTTTTTATTAAATCAATTTTCTGAGTGAAATCAGGTACTCTTTGAAATTAATTCTTCATTGTAAGATTTTATGGTTTAATAAGTTATTTTTCTGCCAATAGTAATGATCATTGAGCATTTGCAATATCTTTTGTTGTATATTTCCTGACAAATCTGCATCCAATTTTGATTATACCAATAATTTTTTTGGTCTCTGCTCAGACCTCGACTTTTTTTTTCTTCATTGGCTCACCATAGTCTGAACATCCGACCATGTCCATAAATTAAGCCATTGTACGAGGATGCTCTTCAAGTTATATCAACGCCGCCAATTATAAAAAAAAGACAGTTAAATCAAGAGAAATATTTGAGATCATATGCCTGAGAATATGAGAGAATACGATTTATTGGTGAATGTGACTTTAATAAACACTTGATTGAGCTTATTGTATGAAGCAGTAAAGTGTAGTAAGAAAAATTGATGATGAATGATATTTCTGTGATGAAAAAAAATAGGAGTATTGATGTGTACATTTAATATACAAAGAAATAGGAAGAGGAAGGTGATTAACTATACGAGAGAGTTTTGTTTGCTTAGGGAAAAAATGGGTGTATGAGAGTTCTAGTTGGTGAAATAATTTTTAAAAGAAAGAGGAGAAAGAAACGGAGGAAAAGGGTCTTAGAATGTGGGTGAGTTTATTTTAATTTAGGTGAGTCTTAAGTTAGGCCAATGGGACGATGACACATTGGAATTAATTAAGTTTTTTTTTTCCTAACAGGGTCTTTGAAAGTAGTATGACGTAAAGTATTGGAGACAAAAAATTTTGGTTGTCTGAAAATAAAACTTTAATGATGTTTGTAGTGATTATTCAAATAGAGTGCAAGGTCAAAAAAAGGATAAGAAGAACAAGAAAAATATGAACGCACACACGCTAGAGAGGGGGGGGGGGGGTAGGGGAGGGGGAGGGTGGAGGGAGCGGGGGAGAGATTTTTTGAGATGGAGGGTATTTGTACCGACTCCAATAGTCTAGGGGCAATTTTGACCTTTTTTACGTTATGACACGTAGAAATTAATTAAAATTTTTTTATCTAACATGACCGTTAGTCGTAAGGGCATTCTTGAGCCGAAAAGATAACGATGAGGTCAATTTTTTTAAATAGGTGGACGAAGGGCATTATTGTACCAACTTCAATAGAAGGGACAGCTTTGACCATTTTCCGTATTGTATATGTAAAGTGTGAATACACCATAGAACGTGCAGCCCATTTTTTTCAATTTTTAAGAAAATGACATGGTGTGGAACTTTTTTTATATTTAATATTGACATGAAGAGTGTTTGTTATCGTCTTTTTGTTGTCCAATTGTCCAAACCTAAATGTGTCTAGCTAATAGAATAGAATAGTGACCAAAGGACAGCTCAAAAATATGCGGGGCCTAAAGCTAAAGTTTAATACGAGGCCTAAAATTTTAAAAGAAAGTTATTATATTATTTTTATTTAAAGGCTATTCTTCTAACTTTTTGATATGCAAAATTATTAATAATCTTTTCATAATCGATTTTTCTAATAATTTCTTTTCAATTGATAATATAACAAATTCATCATTTAATCTTTCTTGAGAAATTATTGATCTTAGATAAGATTTTATGGAGCAATAGAAGTATAGAACTATTGGAAACTTAAAAGTATTGTTGAATAGTTGAACTAATGAAATCTTGGAGAAAAAGAAGGAAAGTGAGAATATCAATGAGAAAGACAGAAAATATGTAGGGGTTTCTGAAATATGAAGTGATTGGAAATAAGAAAGATTGACTTGGACAAATTAAGGAAGAGAGTAAATTTTATACACATTAATCTGATGAACAAATAAAAAGTGGAAAATTAAAACGTTAGAAAAGCTATTCATCTACCCATTTTAAGTAAGTTAAGTTATTTCTTTATTCATATATCTAAAAAGTTTTCATTCTTTTTATATTAAAAATTCTACTATTACATTAAAAAAGTACTAAATATTATTTTTTAAATGCCTAAACCTATTATTTTAAAAAAAATAGGGTCCTCCAAATTTGGAGGCCTAAGGCACAAGCCTTACCTTCCATAGCATTGGAGCCGACCCTGATAGTGACATGCATACCGAATATAATCTTCTAACAAGTTACGATTTGAATGGGAAAAAATGATCCTTCAAAAATTCCCTGTGAGTTGTTATTTATCAATTTTTGTGTTTTATAAATCTCCTGTGTAAATGGTCATATAACTAAAAGAACATTTATAATGGGCCACAAAATCGATTTGACCACGTGTCTAAATAAGAGAAAATAATATTGTATAGATGTTGTAAAAATAATATGCGAAAATATATATAAATGTGTATATTTTTTGTATATATATACATTCTGTATGTTATATACAAAGATTATACAAATTTTATACAATTCTTCGGCTATCAAATGTAAATAGTTTCTGGGCAGGCTAAAAGTGATAATACCCTTATATATATATAATGTGAAATTACTGAGAATTGAACTTTTAATTTGCTGAATGCCATTATCGAATAAGCCATGCAGTTAAATACTATAGTACATTCAGACATGAAGAAGATGGTTAATTAAGTAACAATCTAAAGGAAAAGCTACTACAACTTGTTTGGATAGTTTGTTACTTATTGTATCGTATCGTATCCTTACTTTAAATATGGTGTTTGTTTTGATTGTTATTTAAATTTTATTGTATCGTATCGTTAAATCAATCGTTACGTAACGATTAAATGTGCAACTTTATGTAACGACCGATTTGGTGTGGTCGCGTCGTTACCTTGTCTTTTTCTCGCAATTTCACCTTTCATTATAATTAAATAATTTTATTTTATCATTTATCCTATATTTTCATATAATAATTTTATCCTGTATCATAATTTTTGTTTATAATCTTGCAAGTTCATTCTTCATATTGCTGGTGCGTGATATCATGAAACGACGTCAAATGATAAAATCTATCCAAACACTGTTCTTCATCAAATAATATACAGTACAATACAATACGATACATTATGAACCGATATGTAACAACCATCCAAACAAGCTGTAAGGGTTTCACATGCAAAATAACATGAAATTAAAGGACTTGCCAAGAAAATACTTGAGTGGCGAAAGAAGCAACCGTCAATCAGAGGTGCAAATTGCAAAATGTCCAAATTGACCATTGGCGTCTTATAATAAAGAGGGAAAAGAACAAACACAATGAAATAAATTAATCTCAAACAAATTAAAAAGAGAAAAAGAAGAAGAACAATATGCACAAAAACAGCATGAAATAATTGACTAAGATTAACTTTGAAATGTGACTTTTATAAGAAGAGGTCAAAGTGTTTCTGACATGTTGTTTTACTTTTCGGTTTTATACATATAAATAATTCAAGTTATACATAACGATGACTAGTTATAGATTTTTTTTTGTTATATTAGCTAGTTAGTTACCAATTTGTCTAGGTTATCCGTTAATCTTACGGTGGAATGTGGATGATTGCTTGTGTGAATATTTTTTATATCACACGTTATAAAATTCAAATTCGAAATTATAAATTTATAAACAAATAATATAAAAAAAAAAAGTAAGATTGATATTAATAGATTTAACTGGCCAAAGTAGGCATACTTAAATCATGTTTTTTCGTACGCTAATGTGTACTATGACATTGTAATCAGAGGCGGATGCAACATAAAATTATCGGGTTCAACTGAACCCAGTACTTTCAACACAGAACACATAATAAATATTACTAAATATGAGCCCATAACTTTATACCGAACCTATAGGACTAAAATCTTACCTCCGCCTCTGATTGTAATACGTTTTAATTTTTACATAATATGTATATAGTAAATACAGAACGTGAGTCAAGTATGATATATTTAGGAGGACAAAACCAGCAAGCAACAATTTGGCTGGACATAATTATGAAAGTTTGGTGTGAACTTCACACAGTCACCATCGGTTGTTTAAATTATTGATCTGATCAGCCCTTATTTATTGTGCTTAGTCCTTTAGTCCCTTTTGCTTTCCGCTTCCAATATTCACTAAATGCTTATTGTCTTCTCTCTTCTTTTCTCTCTCATTATGTATTTGCAGTTTTACTTACTTTCTGTCTCCTGCTTCTAGGGTTTCTCTCTCAAAATCAAACCACAAAATTTTTTAAATTCATTTTTACTTCTATTAAAGCTCCTATATGGTCACCATGCTTTTGATGTTACAAGAATCAAGGTACATAGCTTGAAAGACTTTGCACTACCAAAAGGAAATTTTAAGGTATCATCACTAGCTAGCTTTCTGCTTTCTTTTATAAATGAAAAGAAACCCTTTTATTTTCTCCTTTTTCTCTCAATTTATAGGGGTGTCAGCCCTATAAATTCCCTTCCACATGTAGATCTATTAGCAGTAACAGTTTCTTGATATGTTTTCAAGGATGTCAGACCTCTCTATAAAAACATTCATATATAACAACACTTCATTATAAGTCAAGTTTTTTCAGAATCAATTTTCATGTTATGTTATAATATATGTTCTCTATAACAGGACTTTGCTATAACATCCAAAAATATTCGGAAGAAACAAGGTTGTTATAGAGAGATTTGATTGTATATTTGACATATATATTTTGAAGGACAATGATATATGAAACATAGACTAGTGCGACTTTTAGCTAGGTTTTCATTTCACGTTGGTTAATTTGATGTAAAAGTCTTATTTCGCGGAACTTTGCAGGTGGAATGTCGGATATCATTTTAAGGCTTTTACCATGAATCATAGAGTAAAGACTTAGACAGAACAGTAAGTTTAAATATCCCACTGTTTAATTTGGTAGAGCAGGTGGAAATTAACTCACGGGCACTGATTATTCTTGCCAATAGTTTGATAATGTTTAAAATTTAGTAACTGAGCTATCAAGTTTACTAAGCATGACACCATATATAGTAGCAAAAAACTACAAAACAATAAAAAATTTACTCTATGTTTAGGCTTCGGGTATTGGCGGAGCCAGAAAATATAAATAAATAAGCATATGAAAAAATTAGGGGAGTCAACATATTATATATACATAAAAATTAAATATTTAGCCTATCTACACGGTATAATTTCCCCACGAAGGGGTGTCAATTGACTCCCCTTGCCATGCTTCGCCACTGGCTTCGGGAATGACATTTTTAAGAAGAAAACAAAAATGCCTTATACACACAGACACATAAACTTACATGAAGCATGAATGCTTTAATAATTTCTAACAACAATGTAATATTAGCGTCTTAAAATCAAGATTTTGTAGGGGGGAAAGGGCCATTTAATTGAATTAGTCAAACTATACAACAATATGATTTTACTTGTATCACGGACATTATACTGATGAAAATTATGCACTATCAGTGTAATTTTTAATCTGCAATATATAGAAGGTTATGTCTTACATTTTGAGATACTAATTCCATTTATCATGGGTATATAGTCTCGAGCAATACATTTTAAATACCGATATAGTGTAAATAACTTTTAAACTGTTGGTATATAGATGTTAACCTTGTTGAGCTGAATCAGCCCAAAGTTACTAGCTAGCTCTTAATACGGTGTAATATTATTCGCTTTGGAGCAAGTCTGCATGGTTTTTTCTTAAAGGCCTCACACCATTAAGAGATCTCTACACCTTATATATAGTCTTTCAATCTTTTCAGGTACCAGCGCGGGACTTTATTCGCACACCAAAAAAACTCCTAACAATAATATTAAGATGCTATTGTTTGCATAAAGTTAATTACACTAATTACCTTGGTTAATTATCAGGAAATTATGGCTTCTTCCAGCAGCTACTCCAACCCTCCATGTGCTGCTTGCAAATTCTTGAGAAGAAAATGTTTGCCAGGTAATTGCATCTTTGCTCCCTATTTTCCTCCAGAAGAGCCAACAAAATTCGCCAATGTACACAAAATATTTGGTGCGAGCAACGTAAGTAAACTCCTAAATGAAATCCAACCTCATCAGAGAGAAGATGCAGTAAATTCTCTTGCTTATGAAGCCGAAGCACGTATAAAAGATCCAGTTTATGGTTGTGTTGGAGCAATTTCAGTTTTACAAAGACAAGTTATTCGCCTTCAGAAAGAACTTGATGCTACGAATGCTGATTTAATGCGATATATTAATCCGTCTGGAGGAAGCATGAATAATCAAATGGTAAATCAACAAAGGAGTAATTTGAATTATGGGAGAAGAATGGGTCCTGTTGGAGGAACAACTACTGGATTTGATCAAAATTATGGGTTTTGTGTTCCAAGTTATAATTCTCATAATACATGGAACAATAATACCATTTCAGGTAATCACAACCCTGAGCCAGATGATGACAGTAGCATGTGATCAAATGTCATCCAATATAATGATTAGTACGTACTTATTTTGTGTTATTTCTGAAGCTATTAATTACTTGTTAATCAATATTGCTAATTGCTCCCTTTTGAATGGACAATTAAGTGTATATGTATTGTACAAACTAAAAACACACACTCTCTCTATATATATAAATATATATATGGTGGCAATTTGGATGTTGTTCAAAGTATTAATGGCAATGTATTCTTTGGACATTTTTTTCTTCCGAAACAACCTCTCTACTCCCTCCGGGCAGAGGTAGGATTTGCGTACACACTACCTTCCCCAGACCCCACTAATGGGATCTTATTGGATCGTTGTCGTTGTTGTATTCTTTGGACATTTTATAGAGAGAGCTTGGAGCTTGGAGCTTGGAGTTCTGTTCATTGGCAGTGCTTGTTGGAATTATTCATAATGCAAAGTCAAAAATTTCTTTTTGAAATTCCATTTACAACCAATAGCCATGAGTTTTTTTATTTATTTCCAAGTGGCCTCTTGCATGAAGCCTTAAAGACAAGTGTTGAATGGCTTTGACATATTTCCAAGTGGCTTCTTGCATGAAGCCTTAAAGCGAAGTGTTGAATGGCTTTGACATATTTCCAAGTCGCTTCTTGCATGAAGTCTTAAAGCCAAGTGTTGAATGACTTGGGCAAGTGGCTATGCAAATCTACCATGAGTCTTCATGCATGGAAGACTAGGTACACTTGTTAATATTGAAGACAAGTGGATTATATATTTGGACAAGTGTTAAAAGATTCTCTACACTTGTCATACATGCAACCTCCCTAATTGCCTATAAATAAGATGATTATTAGCCATCATATTCACTCAATTCTTAACCAAGAATCATCTAGCTAACCATTACTTTCTTTCTAGTCTTCTTTGTGAATTATCCAACACATAAAATACCTTCATCTTCTCTTCTTTCTGGGCAACTGTTTTGTGCAAATTCTAAACTTCCAATCACGAGTGCACGTGTTTGGAGGTGCTGTGGAACCTTGGGGAGCGACCGGTCTTAAAGATTTGCACCTAGTCGGGCCGAAATCGCTTTCAAGGCAGTGGCTTGCCACGACACAGTATTTTTGATAAGTTGTTCTTCTTTCCTTCTTGTTCTTAGTCAATATTATCTACTCATTTTCCTTAGAGTGTTTATATTTTTTACACCATCAAGTTAATTAGCTGGTCTACGATATTGTATAAGTCTTCATGTGGCAAGTACAAACCTGAAAAATAAAGTATCAATATATATATAACTTAAAACCTTCTACATATAGTAGTAGTTATTGAAGCACGTACGCATGAAAACATCCATTTTTTAAAATGCTAATGTGCTTAATAGCATTCCAAATGTCCTAATTAAAATTTGTAGAAATATGTAGGAGATTTGTAGCATTATTAGTATTTTTTGTTTAATCATCCAAAATTCACTATCTAAGAGTCGCGACGCGTAGGACCTACTAAAGGAGAAACAACTCCTAATCGGGATTTGTTATTTCTAAAATAACTTGATCCGAGACGATTAAACTAAAATTTCTGTATCCCTTTAGTGGCTACGACTTTAACTAAAATTTCTGTATCCCTTTTAATAAGTGTTCCAATAGCCTCAGTCCTCAGCCTCTTGCTATATACTACTTAGTATGTAAAATTGTTGACTACTCTTTATTAATTATTGGATTAGGTCTGTAGGCAGAATGAAATTATGGTCGAACACGAGAGGAATTAACAACAGTACCATATCATGTATTTACATTAAACTGTATCAATTTATTATGGTTAATAATTTTTATAGGTGAAAATATAGTACTAACTTATAATCATGCTTAAGTGAAATAAATCTATATATTTACAAACACATATCATGCACTAAATGTCTGCGTACACACTACCCTCCCCAGACCCCACTAGTGGGATTATACTGGATTGTTGTTGTTGATATCATGCACCAAATGGTTTATTGGTAAGCTATTAACAAGGCCCTTGTACATCTTAAAACGGACAAAGGATTGTGTTATGTAGTCGTTGAAAATTAGTTCTTTTCTAAAATATGTGTGGCATTAAATTCAAATATCAACAATATAATTTTCCAACTTTGCCTTTGGCTGGTCATACATACTTGGTTCCCCAGTGAATATCATATTAATTTAAAAAACTCTGTAAATATTCTGACTTCTCTGATAGGGATCCTTTACTATACTAATCTGTGGATATTGCTAACTTGTGAATATTTGGGCATCTTCATTAAATATATATAGTACATGCCATATTGTCCTGGTCTAATTAAGCTATAACAGTAGCCTACTCCCATAGGGTCCGGAAAAAATTGTTGTTCCATGTGAGGAAAACCGAGGATGTGAACCCAGACAACTATTCCTAGCAGCGACATTGTATTTCTTGTCCCCCTTTATTCTTTTCTTTATTTCCTTTTGAATAAATGCTTTAATTATCAGTCGTTTTCTCAGTACTCTTTAATTTGTACCACTGCCATACATTTAATCACCCTGCAACTGTAGGTCTACATGTACCTCCTTAGGTAGCCTTTTGTTGTGTGTGGGGTGGGGGTGGGGGTGGGGGTGGGGGTGGGGTGGGGGATGACAACATTGACAAGCTTCCTGAGAGCCAGTTTAATTTTCCATTTTCACGTGAAGATGAATTTTGGAATTTTTCAAAAATTTCATTCAAATCACTCATTAAACTTTAAAAACAAATCAAAATTATATTCATGTCCAAATACAACTCTAATTTTCAAACACTATTTTCACTTGAATTTTTTTTCCACTTTTTTTTGGAATTTTACAATCAAAATATGCGATGTATGTCGTTCTTTGTCATGCAAAAGGAAAATTCAGGCGCACGCGCACGTAATATAGAATTGAAAAAAGTGACCCCCCCAGCTGCCTTGCGATATAAAGCAAAAAGCTTAACCACATAGAAAAAATGAAAGGTCTTTCAATATTCAATCTTTTCCAATTCAAGAATCCGTCACATCCGTCATCCAATTTCTCCTGTTTAGAGGCCCCTACTAACCGTCCAAGGATCCCCATGTCCATTTCAGGTTTACCCCTACCACGCTGCCATCCATTCGTCGTATTAAGGGGTCGTTTGGTTGAAAAATAAGTTATTTCATAATTAATTATCTCGGAATTAGTTATCTCGTCCTCTCATAATTAACCAAATCTACAATTCTATTATGAGGGCTCCAATTCGAAATATCTGCTTAAAGAGAAGTACATACACCTCTGCAATAACCTTTGATGGATTACCCCCAAAAGTGAAATTTAATTTTCGAGGCGAATTCGAATTAGTTGGATCCAAAAATAGTGTGTGAAACCATATCAAAATTTTTAAAAAAATCAAAACAGTTGACTTTTTGTACATGTGAATTTAAATATTTTGAAACTCTATACATAAAGACGGTACATACTTCATCCATTTCATTTTACTTTTGTAACAGTGTTTGACAAGATACAAAGTCCAAAATACACTTACCACAATATGATATTGTCCATCTTGGACGAGTTTGCACGATTTTTTTTCCAGAAAGCCTCGCTGTTAAGTGTATCACTACATTTTATATGTAGCTTCATTTTCTTTTCACTACGCCTTACGTGTACGTAGTCTTATTTTTTAATATTCGAGTAGTACTAGCTGCAAAAAAAAGAGCAAGTATTACATCAACGTTCATGCATGGTTTTTTTTAATAATGAATTTAAATTTTGAAAGTTGTAAAAGTAGTATAAAAACAGAATGAATGTCAAATATTGTAAAACTTTCCAAAACGAAAAGAGGGTCATACTCGGAAGATTTGAACCCATGCCTTGTAGTTAAAATTGTAGCGTCTGGGCTACTGATACGTTCTGGATTCATGTTAATTATATATATAATGGTGTTTTATTGACTTGAATTATTTCATATCAATGGATGAAGTAGCTCTTTTATCGACAACGAGCATGCGTGGTTGACCTTCGTCAATGGACTCAATAAGCGACCAACATGTACCATTAAAGGCAAAAGTCGGAGACAGAATTTGAAGTTTATGGATTTGGAAATCTAGTCTGTTTAAGTTACTAGGTTTTAAATTAATAAAATGTATATATTCAATGATTTTTTAAAACAAATAGAAAGTTTGGACAAAAGCTACTGGGTTCGGCCGAACCCGTAGATCGTGCTCTAGCTCCGCCCCTGATTAAAGGTTGTATTGAAGTGGTATTGTGGTAAATACTATTCTATCATTAAGCAGAGAATTTGAGTTCGAGCCCTGAGTATGATCTTTGATAGAGAACAATTTACTTCCGACGTGCAACTTTTTGACGAGAATCCGAATTTGTCGGGCCCCAAAGTGAGTATAGAACAATGAATGAAAAATCAAAAAAGAGAGGGCCCAGCATGTGGGTCAACGGGATTCTAGTGGCTGAAGTTTTGTCCTTTATTTGCTGAAGTTTTTGGTTGTAATTGCTGAATTAAGCATTCTAGTAGCTGAAGTTTTGTTCTCTATTTGCTAAACTTCAGCATGTTTTAGCTGAGCTTTTTTTCTACATTTGCTGAACTTTAGCATTCTTAGAACTGAAGTTCTAAAACAACAATAACAAGTTGTCATTGACATCCAGTTGCTATAATGGTGTTTGTTTGATGTTATGGAACAACAATTCCTATTATCTGCATGTACAAGGTCAAATGGAGAAAGTCACCACATCGTACGATATCAACACCATAGCAAAAATACCATATCACTAGAGATGATCGTCCAACAATAAACCAAAGAAAAACTGTTAAGTAGATATGTAAAATCAAATAGCTTGTCTTTTTATTTCCCCAAAAGTTAGATACCTAGTCAGAAGAAGTAATTTGCTATAGCAGTTCAACTTCGAATCAACAAACAATGGGATCTGATCATACTGGTAAAGATCATTTTGTCTTTGTTGCTCCATTTTTATATATTCTTGGCTTCTCTCAGAAGGGGTATACGTATCACTATAAAAGAAGAAGAAGAAGAAAATGAAGGAGGAGAAGAAGGAGGAGAAAGATGGCTGAAGTTGTTTAAAAAGTGGGTATAGGTTAAAACTTTTTAAAAAAATGGATAGACGTTAAAGGAATTTTTACATTCCTATGCCACTGGAAACCTTATTACCCTCAATGTTTAAGGTTTGACTTAATTACACATTAGTATACCAAATTACCAATTCTATACCATAATTAATTAAGGGTATAATTAATTGTA